TAACAATCTTTCTACACCTTCCCTGTAATGATAACTGAGCTTTGTGGGGAGAGGGCTTAATATATATATGCCCCATTTAGAGCTCAGCACCCCACAGTCTCTTAGTCACTGCACACTGATTCTCTGTATTGGTTGTCATCTATTGCAAACAGGTTTTTTTAATTGAAAATACATTTATTTCATACAATGTATTCAGATTACTGTTTCCTTTCCTGAAACTCCTCCCAGGACCTCCCCACCCACCCAAATCCACACCCTTTATTATTTAGAAAACTAAACAAACCAGATGGGAACAAAACAAACAGAAAAAAAAAGCACAAGAAACACAGATACAGAGACACACATACTTGTCTACAGGAAAAATTCTGTGAAAATACAAAATTGGAAACCACAATATGCAAGCAAATGCCTGGTAAGGTTTTTGTAAAGCCCAAAGCATTATAAGACAAAATACCACTGAGTTCACCTTGTTTTGGCCATCTACTGCTGGGCTTGGAGCCTATCCTTAATGGGGTTTATATACCCAGTGAAACTCATTGGAGAAAACTAACTTTTCCTATACTGTAAGAGTTAGTGAATTGTTTAGTTACTACACAATCCAAAACAAGGCAGAGTAGAAAGCCTTCCTATCTAAGCAAAAATTCCTATTTGTACTTTCGGAGTTGAGTCACCTGAGTGATCACAATGGTCATCCGTAGGCTTAAAGGGTCGTCATTGGGAAACCTCCAGAACCCTTAGACTCCAAGGGCAGCTGTTACTACCCTTTAGAGGGAGTGACTTTTCCACTTTTGTGGTTTTCCTCTTTACAGGGACAGTAAAGTCTTGGTTGCTTCGAACCTGTTGAAGGCAGTTTTCTCAGTGCCCTGTTTTTCCACAGTGGTAGCAAATATGAGACTCCTTAGAATCTTTTTTTGCCTGAATCTGTATTACCAAAGAAAATACTGATTTACAGGCTTATTGTGGATAAAATTGGATAAAATAAGAAATTGTGATGTATAAAATATTGGCTGTCACATACATAAAACCTCAAGCTTTTATCAAGGAAACAAATGTTTAGCTATATGATTTTCACACATAGGGGAGAATGATACTGTAGTCTGAGGAGTCCATTGAGGGAAATGAATTCAGGTGTGTAGTAAAATTCCAAAGGACATGTGGAATTTGGTCAGACTGATGACAGGACTTGGCACAAGCAGAGGAAAAGAGGAATCTCATTATGTAGTGTCAGGAGTAAGTATTGTAAGTTTGGGTAAGTTGTGAAGATGCTGAATAGATCTGTTTGGTTTGGTCACAGCTTAGAGATTAGATGGAATTGAAGGTTGTAGGGCAGGCCTTTGAAAGTCTGAACATTTTTTTGTCAGGAGAAATAGATAATGGCCCCAGGACAGAACTGAGTGAGGTGTTCACACTCTGAGTGTCTGAGATTTCTAAATATCCCTAAAGTCCTGTGGTAGTTCAGTAAAGCATAGGCCCTACTATGTCTCGGTTGGTTAAGATACGCATTAACTTCACAGTGGTGGTGCCTCTACCTTTTAGGCTATGAGGCTCAATTACCTCTCTTCCAGTCAGAACCATGTATAATCATGACTTCTCCAGGATGGGGGAGCCATGTCCTAAGACAGCTATACCTCATAAAATGGACCATACCTTAAAGAAACAAGCCTATCTTGAACCTCTCTAGATACAATCTCAGACGTGACTCACAAGTCAACAGAATCGAGGTTGGTGAACAAAGTGGTCTTTCCTGGAGCTCTGGGTAAGTAACAATTGAGTGAGAGGCTCAGGATTCACAGTCTAAAATAAAAAAAAAAAAACAACAATATTCCACTAGGCAGTTGGCACTCCCTTCCAATCTGCTGGTGGCATGGTTTGAGCACATAGAAATGTTAAATTTATGAAAAAGCATATTTTATTGGCATCTATCCTCTCACCTGAACATTCAAAAGACACTAAAATTTCAAATTTCACAACTAGAAGCATAGACAGTGAGAGGGAACTCATCCTTAGACAGAGACATAAAATAAGCAATTTGTCAATTTAGTCTTTCATGTTAAAAAAAATGGCAGGTGGGCTATTGTGCCTGTAGATGAACATGGAGGGCAGGAGGCTGCCTTGGGACCAGGTTTGATAGTGAGTTCATATACCAGACACTGATGAGAAAGTTTCCTGTGTGGAACAATGGGAAGAAGTGAATTTACATTAGATTTTTAAAATCCACAGTTCACAGTGAAGACAGCTAGGAATGAATTCTTGTGAAATCCCTAACTCTTCCCAGACAGAAGATTAGATGTAATGGTTTGAATAGGGTTACACTGCAGTCTGACAATATGAAATTAGTGGACTAGCATGAAAGATGAGATAACACATGCTGTTGGGAAAAATTTCATACATGAGTCCTGACCAAGAAATTAATTATTGAGATTATGCACAGATTACACTGGCCCATGCACACACTCAAGGCACACAAACACACAGAAAGCTGACCTCAGACAATCATTGACTTTTCTATAGCCAAAAACAAAATACAAAAAAGTCAAAAGTGCTTTGTGTGGCCCAAAGTTCTGGTATAAGAAATAAACTTTTACATAGAACCTATGTCCAGTAACTGATAGAAGCAGATGCAGCAACCCACAGCCAAGCAGTGGGCCTAGCTCCTGGAGTTCAGTTGAAGAGAGGGTGGAGGGATCATATGAACAAAGGTGGTCAAGAGCATGATGGGGAAAACTGCAGAGACAGCTGACCTGAGTTAGTGGGAGCTCATGTACTATGGACTGACAGCTGGGTAACCTGCATGGGACCAAACAAGGTCTTCTGAATGTGGGTGACAGTTATGTGGCTTTATCTGTTGGGGAGGGGCTGGCAGTGGCAAAAGTTCCTATCTCAGG